TTATCTGCTGAAAGAGGAGTAACATGAATAATCCAAAGAACAGATGGTTCATATGTAATTTATAACTTATTAAAAATAATAGCAATTTTTCTGAAACAGCTTTTAATTTTTTTCATAACTGAAAAATCATCTATATTCACCTACCATACAAAAAAATAGGCTCAGACTCTGAAATAAGATGCATCTATTGTAGCATGTCTTACACTGCTTAAAAATGGGGACACTGTTTTACCTGTAATTTCAATACCTAATATACTGCCTGATATGGCTGATGTTCAGTAAGTGGTGGATAAATGAAAACAGTGACTGAATGGTATAGCAAAAAAACACAAAGAAAAGAAAAACACCAGCCCACCCCCTCCATTTAGTAGTTTATAGCCTACTGAAGTTAACAGAAATACCCAATGCAATGAGCTTAGAGTAACGTACAAGGTACTATGACAGAAGAGGAGGAACATCAGACCCAGTCAATTATTACGGGATAATTGCATGGAGAGTTAACATTTGCCACAATCTGAAAATAAAGCAAATTTAAGTGCAGTTTAAAAAAAAACAACACAGATAAGTGAATAGCAAATTCAAGCTACCCATATCTCAGAAGTGACAGTATTTTGAAAGTTATAAAGCAGCATAAACAGCTATGTATGATCGAAGGAAATATTCTGCCTTACCATTCATTGAGCAATTACTTTTCTTAAAATCTAACAGAACAGCCTGGCTGGCATGGCTCAGTGGTTGAGCATTGACCCATGAACCAGGAGGTCATAGTTCGATTCTGTCAGGGCACATGCCCGGGTTTCGGGCTCGATCCCCAGTACGCGGTGTGCAGGAGGCAGCCCATCAACGACTCTCTCATCATTGATGTTTCTCAATCTCTCTCTCCCTCTCCTTTCCTCTCCCTGAAATCAATAAAAAATATTTTTTTTTTTTTAAATCGAACAGAATAGGAATAAGTACTTCCTAATCTAAATCAGTCAGATTCTAATTAATATGTGTAAGAAGCTATAAATATTCATAAGGAACATCTACTGATCAAAATGACTAGTTATTAGGAATACTGTTAAGTAGAGAACCACAATTTTGATACAATTACCAAAGACTTCATATTCAGAGACAGAAAAACTCTTCTCTGTAATATGATCCTATTTCCTGGTATATTTTCCCCATCACACCTGCTTCCACGTCCAGCAGTTCTATAAGAGCAACACTAGTCTCCAGTCACATAGGTCAAAAACTCCAACGTATTTTGGATTGCCCAGTTCCTTCCCTGCCTATATCCAGGAACTCTGGTCCCGACATTTTTTCTTATAAAAAAGCAATTCTAAATCAATCCCTTCCTTTCCAATTTCACCTTAATCAATACCTTTACTGCATTATCTTTTAAACCCATCTCCCATCTTTCTAATTAATTCTGCATATTACCTCCAGAGTACTCATCCTAATTATCTGTTAGTCCTCTACTCAGAAGCCTGCAAAGGCTCCCCTTAGCCTGGAAGACAAAACTTGTCACTGGACGTCTCCCTCTTCCTTTCCTATAGCAGTTAAGTCAAACATTCAGTATCTCTGGAACCATTCCATGTTCTTTTGAACCTTTACAGTTCTTCCTGCTTCCAATACCTTGTTACCTCTCCACTATCCAAATCCTAGTGGTCTAGAAAAGCCTGACCTAAAGGGATTAACCAAAGAACTTATATGCATATACACATNCCTAAAACATTTCAAGTCACTTTGGCTTTGTTCAGATCTTATGTTAAATGCCATCTTCTGGTTGAAATTAACTTGTTTAGTTTTCATAGCATTTGTCACTAACTCATGTTTATGTGCTTTTCTCCTGCCTTATATTGCATCTCTTTTTGTCTAGCTTAGTCTCTACTATATCCCCAGCTCTTACAACAGTGTTTGACCTGTAGTAGGTACCCAGTAAATAGTTATAAATGAATAAGCCTAAGCACAGGTGGTGCATTGGCTTTAAATGAGAGGGTGCCTTTATTGTAAGCAGATGGAATCGAGAGAAGATGCACTAGCTTTAGTAGAGGAGAGTGGAGGGAGTTACTAAATAAAGACTTTTTATTTCTCTGTGAAGTAGGAGATATAGTCATCTGTCAGTAGTTGGAGAGATTATGGGACAGGTTTATTAATAAACTAAAATAATTAGTATGCACTAAAATATTTAGTGTTAAACCAAAATAAAAAGAAACAAAAGGAAAGCCTGATCTAAACTCAGTATCACCAAGAAGTCTTCCCAATGACACAACCATCAGGAATTCTCCTTTCTCTGACATCTAATTGTTTTAGTTTACTAATTATTTTGGTTTAACACTAAATATTTTAGTGCATACTAATTATTTTAGTTTATTAATAAACCTGTCCCATAATCTCTCCAACTACTGACAGATGACTATATCTCCTACTTCACAGAGAAATAAAAAGTCTTTATTTAGTAACTCCCTCCACTCTCCTCTACTAAAGCTAGTGCATCTTCTCTCGATTCCATCTGCTTACAATAAAGGCACCCTCTCATTTAAAGCCAATGCACCACCTGTGCTTAGGCTTATTCATTTATAACTATTTACTGGGTACCTACTACAGGTCAAACACTGTTGTAAGAGCTGGGGATATAGTAGAGACTAAGCTAGACAAAAAGAGATGCAATATAAGGCAGGAGAAAAGCACATAAACATGAGTTAGTGACAAATGCTATGAAAACTAAACAAGTTAATTTCAACCAGAAGATGGCATTTAACATAAGATCTGAACAAAGCCAAAGTGACTTGAAATGTTTTAGGTTTTAAAAAGTTAACTCCAGCTGCTGTGAGAATATACTAAAATGAAGCAATGGTACAGGCAAGGTGACCAGTTAGAAAGTTATTGAAGTTGTATAGACAAGTGATAACAGTGGCTTGAATTAGTGAAACAAATAAAGATGGTGAGAAGTGGTCAGATTTCTGGAATATGTTTTGAAGGCAGAGCTGACTTGCAGGTTGGATTAGACATGGGGTGTAAGAGCAGAGCAGTCAAGGATGACTCTGAAGTCTGGGACCTGAGCAGCTGGTTGAATGGTGGGACCGCTTACTGAGATCAGGAAGGTTGGAAAGGAGAAAAAAGGGAATTCAATTTGGGCCCTGTTAAGTTTGAGACAACTATTTGATATTCAAGTGGAGATGAAATCCTGCAGAAGCTTGGTAACAGATGTTATAAGGCAAAAAAAAAAAAAAAAAGAAAAAGACAGAAAGAAAAGTCATGGTCATAGGGTTTTTGTTAAGAAGGATAATTAATCAATATAGAACCTGGTAATAAGGATCAACTAATCTTTCAAGTTCGGTTTCTCCATCTGTCAACGATTTCTGCCTTCCTCAGAGGGGTGTTATAAAGAAGACAATGGCTACCACATAATGGGCACTCAAAAAATATATCTGAAATGAAAAGAATACCCCTGTAAACGACAAAATTCCCAATAGGGAGACATATAAGCCATGTGTTTACACACACTAGTTGGCTATATGAGCAATTTAAAAAAAAATTTTTTTTTTAAATATACCTTTAATTGATTTCAGAGAGAGGAAAGGAGAGGGAGAGAGAGAGATAGAAACATCAATGATGAGAGAGTCATTGATCAAGCCCGCAACCTGGGCATGTGCCCTGACCGGGAATGGAACCCCGATCGCCTGGATCCTAGGTCGAAGCTCAACCTCTGAGCCGCGCCCGGCAGGGCAATATGAGCAATTTTTTTTAAGCTATAGACATAAGATCCCAGTGACAGACTGCTCAGAGACACAAGAAGTTGAATTATATTTTTCTTCTTTAGTCTCACATTAATTTAAGTTTCTATTCCATGTGCTTTCACATCCAGTACTCTCTTATGAAAATACTGAGTTAAAAAAATTTTTATTCTTTGCAAAATAGTTCTTAAAGTGCACTGCAATTTGTGCCTACCAGATCGTCCTAAAATACGTAACAACCAAACCCTGACAAATGGCAAGTTTACTTTTCCAATACTGAAACTGCTGTTTTTACATAAAATGTTACATAACTGAATGACTTAATGGCTAACTTTTCAGATATGCAGCAAAATTTTGGAATCAATTATACTTCTAATAGTAAAAGGTAAGTATATTTGACAAGGATGTCAAAAAGGGAGATCTCTTAAACATCAAAATTCTCTTCCAATCCAGATTCACATCTTAGAAATATTAAACCTTATGAGAAGTCTATATTAAATATAAACAATTCAATAAAGTATCTGATGTGGTTAGAAACATAGTTCATTAGATGGGGTGGGAGCCAGGTGGAGGGGGGCAAAGGGGGAAAAATGGGGAACATCTGTAATACTCTCAACAATAAAAATAAAATTATAAAAACTTCCCAATAAAAAAACATAGCTCACATGACAAAAAAAAAAAAAAAAAAAAGGGAGATTTATTCCCATGTAGGCATGTAAAAAACAGATGAATTCGTATGAGCATTTCAGAGTTTATAAAGGGTTTTTCACTTGTATTAACTCACATTTTTTCACAATCACCCTGCCAGGCAAGTACTTCCCCCCTATCAATGAGGGAAGCTAAAAGTAAAAATACTGGGTGAAGGTCACAAATCTAACAAAAAACAGGCTTTGATTCAGGTAGCTGATAACTTGAAATATTTAGTTCATGTACATACATATTTTAACAAAACTTCGCCAAGCTTTTCCCATTTTAGTGCCTTAGTTTCTTTATTTTTAAAAGATACCTATCTCCTTTAGCACACTAAAACAATGTGAAATTACTGAGAAGTTGTACACATAGTAGTCAGTGGACTTGTCATTAAGTTATCTTAGAGGCTGATGACTTTAAAAGCAAGTTCAGAAATTCTTTCCTTAAAAGTAAATCTTGGGCAAATGGATAAAAGGTTATAACAGACAAAAGCATAACTATGCAAATTGGCGGGAGGGGGACCAAAGACATCTGAGGTTCAGAACTACAGTTTGAAAATCACTAATTTCATCCAAATCCCTCATTTTTCAGGTGAGGAAACTGAAGTCCAGAGGGGTTTCTTGAACTGCCCAAGGACACATCACTATTTAGTGATACAGCTGGGACTAAAACTGAGGTCCCCTTGACTCCTGGTCCAGAGTTCTTTCTACTATCCCACAAGGAATATACAAATAAAAGTTGATCGTAATTAACTCACAAGACCTCCACAATGTGTTTGTCATAGTGAACTTTGTTGTGAAATACCTGCCTATGCCGACTCAGGTTAGCAGTGAAGAACTGGGCTCTGGAGTTCAAATACAGGCTCTAACACTTAACCATGTGACCTTGGGCAAGTCACATCACCTCCCTGCCTCAGTTCCCTCATCTTTAAAGTAGAAATTAAAAATACTCCTCTCATAGGTTACATGAAGTATAATGTCTATAAAGCACTTAGGACAGTGCCTGGTATATGGAAAGCTTTCAGTTCATGATGATGATGATGATGATGAAGATGAAGAATCATCATCCAAGCAAAAGCATAGCTTCTTGAAAACATATCACAAAGTATTATCATTAAAACATATATATTCTCAAAGAAAAAATGGTATGATTAGTAGTCTTTTAAAGATTCAGAAACAAAAAAGTGAAATATATAGGATTCAGTCATAAAACCTCTATAGCATTGAAAATAGCAAAAGTACACTTCAAGATTTTAAAATGATTTATATTTGTATAATATTTTACAATTTATAAAGTGCATTCTCATATATTTTTCAATTTACTGTCCTATGAATTCAACAAGCAGCATTTTTTCAACTACATACTATATGCCAGATAGCATGCAATTTACCTATTCATTACCTTATTTAATATTCAATATCCACTACCTACCAGCTAGATGTTATTAGAGGCAATAGTATAATGCAAAAAAAGAAACCCTGACATCAGTTCCAGAAAGAGCCTCATCAGTATCACCTAGTAAGTGAAAATGACATGTTTGGATAAATAAATGAGATGCAGCATTTAGCACAATGAAAGGAACACATCAAGTGCCCGAGAAAATGTTGGTTCTCTCTTAGCAGTAGGATGGAGTTGTTTTGTATAGAAAATATATTGTAACTAGATCAATAAAGTGCCATTACTGTGACTTAAAGTATTATTTAAGAAAACAATTTTGGGTAACAGTGCCTATTATACTCTATATGCTGTTTCATAAATTAAAATGTACAATTTTTGCAGATTTAGGGGCAGACTTTACTGGAGGTAGTTTAGGTAGACAAGTTGAAACAAAATCAATGTTGTAACACAAGACAACACTTTATATAATTCTCATCTGAGGCCTCCAACTACCCTTTGAGGAGGTGGATGAGGTTAGGTATTAATTCCATTTTACTGATGAGGAAATTGAGGCTCGGAAAAGTAAACAACTAACATCACAAAGAGAGGATATAGCAAAGGGGTAAACCTAGGTTTTTGGAATTAGTTTTAAGTGCTCTTTGAACCCATCCACAATGCACCTCAGAACATTAATACCTCTTCCAGATCCATTATTCAATAACCTTAAGACTAGAGCAGGTGAGCCCTGGCTGGTGTGGCTCAGTTGGTTGGGTGTTGTCCCATGTACCAGGAGGTTGCTGGTTCCATTCCAGTCTAGGGCACATACCCGGGGTTTCGGGCTTGATCCTGGTTTACAGGAGTGATGGAGGCAGCTGATCAATGTTGAGCTCTCACATCGATGTTCCTCTCTCTCTCTCTCCCTTTCTCTCTATCTAAAAATCAATGTTCTAAAACAACACTAGAGCAGGTGATACTTCACTGCACCCAACACATCACATGAGTTACTTCATTTGACCATCAGAAAAGTGAGGACTCAAACTAAGTGTGTCTCTCAATAAAATATTTTATTCACTATAGTATAAATTCAAAAAATGCATTTGGCTGAATTATTTTTCCTTACTATTTAAGTGAACTATATGCAAAATCTTTCTTTAACATTCTAATACATAATAAGATTTCTGAATGATTTCACTATTCAACCTCATCGTAATATAAAACGGGAGTTATTTTCAACAAGAATATTCAATCTTCTGATTTGACTGATATGGCCTCTTTGCAGCCTCCCACACCAAAAGATCATTTTTTAAAGAGAACCAAAAATCAAGCTGCCCAAGATTTCTATCCAATTATAAGGAGAAAAGCAAAAATTTTAAATTACCAGTGGCTTAAACAGACAGGTCACTTGCTGGTCTTATTCCAGATATCTCATCTATTATTTAAGCTCATAAGCAAGAACTTTGTCACTATTTAAAAGCAAGTACATTTCTAAGATTGCAATTTGGTTAATTCTTCTAAAATTACATATTACAAATTTCAACAAACATGAAGTATAGTGACCATATTATTATGTGGTTCCCAATTGGGGCATTTTTGATAGTGAAAGGGGCTCTATTAATAACTATGTTGGTACAAACAGGCTCTAAAACATGACTGTCCCAGAAAAAGTGGGGTATAAGTCACCCTACAGAAATCATTTTGACTTGTATGTAACGGCTTATTCTCTGTATATGCTTAATTCATGAGCTTTAAGTTTTGTTCCAGATCTTACGATTATCTTCAGCCTTAAAACCAAGGTCACTATTGTACAGACATCAGACCAGAGTTAAGGATGCTACCTATAAAGTTTTCTTTAAGTTTTATTTTCAAATTTAACTTTATAAACATTTGCTTGAAAAAGATAGATCTCCATATTTCAAAGAAAATAACCTTGAGAAATATCACCAAATTTCTGACTTATCTCTTCAAAAGTTTTGAATACTGATAACCTGATAACCACAAAACTACTTCTAAGATGCTCAAAGTTTAAAAAAACAAACAAAAACATCATCTTTCAAATAAAAAAACTTCAAGAATAAAAGAGTTGAAAAGTTTTCACTGAAAACTAACAAAAATGATAAAAGATAGAGGAAACCATGGGTCACAACACAGGGCAATAATGATTAAAGGAAACGCCAGTTAGTACTGTTATGGCTCTCCAAATGAATCTGGCATTAGCTGTACAATCTAGGAGACAAAAGAATGCTTTGTTTTAATTTGTCAAGCTGTAAATAACTACTAACAGACCCATGCTTTGAACTATAGTACTTTAATGAAAGACACTATTTGAATATAATTATGATTCCTAAGGCAGCGATTTTCAACCTTTTTCATCTCATGGCACACATAAACTAATTACTAAAATTCTGCAGCACACCAAAAAATACATTGTATATTTTGCCAACCTGACAAAAAAAAAAAAAGTATAATTCTGCCTCATTCACACCAGATGCCCATTGCTGTGTTAGCTGTTGTCACATTTTTATTTGACAATCTAAGGGAAACGAGGTCAGTGGCTCTGACTAGTCAGGTATTGCACGTTTTATAAATTCTTGCGGCACACCTGTGTGCCTGCCAAAGCACACCGGTTGAAAATAACTGCTCTAAGGCAACAAATGTTCCAAGAGTTGGCTTCTCTGACTTAAAACTCAACCAAATCAAGAAGTGGAAGGGATCTCAAAGTCTAGATTCTTGACCTTATGCTGTCCAATAAGGCAGTCACTAGCCACATGTGGCTATTTATATTTTAATTAATCTATATTAAAAATTAAGTTCCTCTGCACACTAGCCACATTTCCAGTGTTTAAAAGCCACGCGTGTCTAGTGGATACCATATTAGGACAGCACAGATTATCACAGAATATTTCCATCATGACAGAAAGTTCTATTGGACAGTGATGCTCTAGACCTAGGCTGCTCTAGATCTTTGCTTGAATATTTCCAGAGGCAAGAAACTTGCAATAGCACAATAAAGTGCATTCTATTATTGCAAAGTACTGTCAGGGAACTCTTCCTCATATTCAGTCAAATCCAGCCTCTCTGTAACATCCACCAGAAATCCCCCAAGTTCCATCTTCAATTTGGTCTTCAAGTAAACCTTTGCATAGCTAATTTAATTCCACTTACAAAGTTCTGCCCCTCACGTATATTAAGACCCTAGGTCCCTTCCATACACATAAATACACACTTTCCAACGAAATAGTTCAAAGACTGACTCTCATGGAGTCATGCTAAGTGACCCACGTGTGCACTGGCTCTGAGTATACGGCAGTCCTCTGTCCCTGTAAACCCACTCTCCTTGGTCAGACCAAGTGTCTTGATTTTTAATCTAAAAAACAAGGTCACAGTCCTTCTGAATTGCTTAAAACATGGAGACCAAATTACAATTAACATGTAATTGACCAGTGCCTGGCTCTGTTCTAAGCGTTTAACGTGTATTATCTCCGATAATCCCCACGATTCTGAGCTAAACTATTACCATCCCCAGTTTCCTGAGCAAACACGCAGCCAGAGGCAGGATTCCCCTGGGATCACAGCTGTGGGCTCACCCCACAGAGAGGAGTGTCGCTCTTCTCCTTTTTCTGGATGCTACACTTCTAACGCTACCCAACTCTTCTTCCACCCCGCCCCTAAAGCAATCATTTCCTTCCCCAAGGCTCCTTTCCCCCAAAACGCTGCCCAGGTGACACGCGGAGGGTGCCGCTTACGCCCCCGCAAAGCCCGCTCGCGCCGCCCAGCCCCGCTCCCCGCTCCCCACGCCCACTCGCCGGCGGGGTGGAGTCAAGAGCCAGCTCCACACCCCCCGGGAACACCCGGGCGCCTCGCCGGGCCAGCGCCTCCCCCGACCGTCCTCCCCTCACCCCTCCAGGGCGAGGGCC